GATACTTATGCTCCATAGTAGTTTATTATTTATTTTTAGACATTTAGAGTTGTACTTCATTTTGTAAATATTGAGTGTCTTAGTACTATTTCATTTGACTCTATGTATTGAGATATTTCACATTGGTATTCTATCTTATTCAGTTAGAACAAGATTATTTGATTATCTCTTTCTGTATCATGTTTATTGCATTATTATCTTTATTTACATATTTTGTACCTATACTTGTTGTTGATTCTACTAGAGAGATATTTCTGTGATGGTGAAACGCGTCTTTGCACAGTATGGGTGCATGGCGGGTTTGATCTCCTTGGGTTCACCTTAGACTGCAGCCTTGTGTGAAACCATGGGCATCGCAGAGTAACATCTGCGATGAATGGTATTAAATACTTAGAATTCTAGTCATCAAGATCATGTCTTTTTTTTCAAATAGGGATTTGATCTAAAATTGTATTCATCAATTTTCATTAAGATCATGTCTTTTCTTCATTTAAAGATTTGATCTAAAGTTCTATTCCTCAATTTTTATTAAGATCAAAACTAATTGGGAATGAGTTTGGAAGGGATGAACTTGCCTTTATTAAACTCTGAAATTGGAATCCCTATATGTTCCTTCTCTCCGAATAGCCAAAATCTCCTCTCTCTCTCTCTCTCTCTCTCTCTCTCTCTCTCTCTCCTCTTCTCTTCTTCTCTACGTCTGCCTGCTCCTGCTCTCTCCCTCTCCCTTTTTATAGCTTCTAAATTAATTTAAAAAAAATAAAAATAGTTGGTGGTATAGTGATAGTTAGGTTAGTGTGTATGTGTGTGTGTATATATAATTTTATATTATTTAAAAATTGGGTTTCAGTCTCCGTTTACAAAAAGCAACAAAAATTTACCCACAGCACCATCTCGATATTCTTAGATCAATGGTGCAAACCTCACATCCATCTGATCAACAGAAAATTATTAAAAAATACAAATGTAATAGATTTCAGCAGACTCACGACACCGAGATTGAAACTACGAATCAATCTCAAGTCGATTCCAATCTGATCCATTCATCCCAGAATGATCATCAATCATAATAAAACTCATTTAAAATATTTTCTCAAATTTTTAGGGTTTTATATGGTGATATTTCTAAACTTCATCTTAAGGGTCCTCTTAACTCTATTCGCTCCCTACAATTTGCAGATGATACTCTTGTTTTCTACAGAGCTACCCCTACTGATATTTCTACTCTCAGAATGGTCTTCAACCTGTTTGAAGACATCTCAGGTCTTGGTATTAACTATGCTAAAACTTCCCTTTACTACTGTGGGAAAATTCCAGGTAGAGGTATCCCCTTTGCTAATTCCATGAGATGTTCTATAGACTCGTTCTCTTTCAAATATTTGGGTCTCCCTCTTAAGCTTGGATCTCTTTCTAAAAGAGAATAGCAACCCCTCCTTGATTCTTTTTTTAGTAAGCTATCACTTTAGAAAAGTAAACATCTATCTATTGGAGGTCGTCTTATTTTGGTCAATTCAGTTTTGTCATCTTTACATCTCTATTACATGTCTTTCTTCAAATTACCTGGCTAGGTTATCAAATTTACTGATAGATTGCATCATAATTTCCTTTGGGGAGGGTCAACTTCGGTTAGAAATTCAAAGCTTTGGTGAAATGGTCAGCTGTCTGCAAATCCAAAAAAGAAGGGGGTTAGGTGTCCTTAATATGGTTAACTTCAATTTTGCTCTTTTATCAAATTGGGTGTGGAAAGTTTTAAGCCATGATTCTTTTATTGGTAATCCCATTTCCTCTCTATATAGCCTTCATAATTCTCCTCTCTCTAGTACACCTACCTCTAGATCAATCTCTAAATTCTGGCATGATGCGGTCTCTTAGCTTGGCTTTGAGGAGTATGGTTAGATGAAACTTGGGTAAGGGAACTAGAATCAGATTTTGAGAAGACAAATAGTTAGGAAATTTCACTCTGACTAGTCAATTCCCTGTGGCATATAATCTTGCTCTTTCTTGTAATGTTCTTGTGGCTTCCCAAGGCATGATGAGGGGAAACATTTGGATTTGGAAACCTATCCTCTGGAGAGCTATGTCCACTCCTGAACATCACCAAGTTGATGCTATGCTTGGGCTTCTATCGTCTACTCCTTCTACATCTGATGCTCAGGATTCACCTTCTTGGCCTGTTACCAAGAGTAACACTTTCTCTGTTGAATCTTTCTACTGCCTTCTCAATTTTGGTGGTGTTAATTATAATTTATAGTAGTTTATATGGGGTTCATAAGTTAAGATTTTCCTGTGGTTGTGTTCCAAGAACAAACTTCACGCTAAGGACAATTTGATGAAGAAATGTTAGATAGGGGATCACTTATGTTTTGTCTGTCATGAAGTTGAGGAATCACCAGATCATCTTGTTATCGAGTGTTAATATTCTCGTGATATTCGAAAATATTTCCTGCCTTTGCTGGAAATTAATAAGTTTCAATATGATATTTTTCATATGTTGAAATCTAAAGAACAGTTTATCAACGATAAGAGTTGTCGTATTCTCTGGTCTATCCTCTTGCCTATATTGTGCTGGTGTTTATGGGGAGAAAGAAACAAAAAGGTCTTTAATGGTGAGACTGGAGGTCCTTCCAAGGTGGCGTCTAATGTGGCATATTTTCTGTTGCTCTGGACAGGTGGTTCATGGTATAAGAAGGCTGCAAAGTTGAAATCCATTATACAAGATAAAAAGATCAATGAACTTCTGAGTATTAGCGAGGGTAATGGCTGATAATTTTTCAGGTTCTAGCTGTTTTGGTATTTTGAACAGATATTTTATCTTCATGATTAACTGTAAGCGATTTTTGTTGTGTATGCTGATTGTTTATCAGGAGTTTGGTTTTGTATCTATGTCTTGATACTTTATACCCTTTGTTTAGATTTTGAGTTTTAGAATGTTAGATGAGGTGACGGCTATGGTCCACTCCCTCTTCCCTTTCTTGTTCATCATCTTACTTTGGGTAGTCTCCTGTATATATCTGATTCTATAATATAAATCTTTTAAATAGGGCATGTTGCCCTATTTATACTTCAAGAAAAAATGTATTGTTGTTTATTGGGAGAGTCAATAAATAGGCCCTCAACTACTTAACTGGTATTGGTATTAGAAAAATATCATAAATCATAAATAAAATTCATGAGATAATTGATGCTTTGAACATCTTATTTATTGACTAAATTGCCATTGCTCTTAAACGTACAAATACTAAACTGTATAGCTATAGTTAAGTTTGTAACTAGAAAACTAACAACTCAAAAAGTTTGTACTACATTCAACTAGTAAATTAAGTCCTTTTTTCAGAAAGATACATATAATGTTGAATTATGAACTTATGCTAAAGTAAAGAAGATCATAAAGAATGGGGGAAACATAAAGCCACGACAGTTGTTAACAAATGAGACTTAAAGACTGGGGGCAACTTGTTAACAAATGAGACTTCATTGAGACAGCAGACACAATCAATTATGGCTACTAAATTCTGAGGGTAAGAGGTGAGTGAAGTAGAAATCCAAACAAAATATTGGTTTGGGTGCCAATGAAATTGTTCGGGCAACAATGGGTTGAGGTACAAAAGTTCAAAACTCAAGTAGTACACAGCCGGAAGCAAATGTGGTTATCCACATTGGAGCAAAATGGGATCACTTGACCCCACTTCCTCAAAGGTGGATCCGCATAACAATGACCAAAGTACTCCTTAGTTTATGTTTCTCATGAAAACAGCTTATCTTGGCCATTAGGGGAACAAATTATAACACATGAAAACGGCTTATATCTTGGCCATTAAGGGACCAAATTGTAACACCCTTACGTCTCGAGGGACTTACGAGAAATTTCAAAGGAGAAATTTCAAAGGTTTAGGACTAACGGTTGCTTGTAATTGATAAACTTTAAGCACTTCTTAGTTTAATGGCGTTGCATTGATGTTTAGAACTATTGATGTTTGAATAAACACAAAATGGAACTGCGGTTGCATTACAGATGTGCGGGCTGGTGCGGACTGAGGCATGGCAGGGCACTATTTTTAAAAGTTGTTTTGTCCCATCTATGACAGCGTCTCAGGCGCAACAAGGAGATTCAACAGTGAACTGATTAGCACTGTATAAACTATTCCAAATTTTTTTCAGTTATACCTAATTTTTTTTCACTTGGATATCTAGCTATTTAACTTTTTTGCAAGATCACATTCAAACCCGAACCCTTACAAAACCCGGCCCAGCATTTTCTTCAACGTGACATAAAAAGTCTTGATTATTTGACACAACAAATTTCTTCCTGTCTATAATATCTTGATCACAACTCATATTAGGTAGTTATTAGGCATTTGACATTTTATTTTTCAAAATATTAACTTGTGACATACAAACAAGCTATATTTCTTTAAAAATAAATATGATACAATTACAAACATTTAAAGCGCCGATATCTAAAAAGCGCTCGAGATGGATACGCTGCATGGTTCTAGGATACAATAAGATAGCTTTCACATGGAAGATTCGAGGTCTTGAAACATAAAATACGTTCCACCCAAAGTAAGGCCCACAACCCGTCAGAACTTCGGAATTAAAGGTACGCGCGCTTGATGGTGAAAAAAGCATGAAGCCAGGTTTCGGAGCTAGCACTAACTATGACCCTGGATGGCTGCAACATCCTATAGCTGCTCCCAGATAAATACAATCTGCTATTGTTATATAATGAAATCCTTCTGTTATCAATGAAATGCATAAAACCTTAGGAGATGGAATCAACACCAATGAAATCCTTCTGTCATCAATGAATTGCATAAAATCTTAGGAGATGGAATCAATACCAATCACATAAACCTCATCGAAGAAGCGCTATGTTGATAATATAAAATGAATTGCATAAAATCTTAGGAGATGGAATCGACACCAATCACATAAACCTCATCGAAGAAGCGCTATGTTGATAATATAAAATGAACTGCATAAAATCTTAGGAGATGGAATCGACACCAATCACATAAACCTCATCGAAGAAGCGCTATGTTGATAATATAACTAGATATGCCTAGATATGCCTTCCTATGATTTACGATTCTTTGGGAATGGAATTACATTGTTCTTCATACAACGGTGTTACGCTTGTGACAACCCTGTATCAAAATGGATGATTAAGATTCTGCAAGCGGTCAAACGTTTGGCAACAATGTGATTAGCAACCTTTTATCACGCATTGTAGTCACCATTACACAAGATTAAACACAATATGATATTACATATGCAGACTATTCAATGCCTTACTCCACCATCTCTGCATCTGAATCTTTGGCCACAGAAACCTCTTCAACAATTTCCGTATCTGAATCTTTGGCAACCGAACAATCCAACTTGCCATTTATCGACGATAAACCTATGAACATAAGAACATTAATTGGAATTACTTCTACTTTTGTTTAATCTTTTCATTGGTAGCAAACTTTAGTTACCAGTAACTGATGTATGCATCCCATGAGATGATCCTGAATTTCGTTCAGGCTCTTTTACTGCAAGCGTTCTGTGCACATCCTCATATATGGTTTCAAGCTCACGCATGTTCTTGTTTAACCTAGAATTAGCAGAAGAGTCGCCCAAGCAAGCTACTACAGCATCAACAGCATTGGCCTCAGCTACATTACAAAGCTGAAGGAAGAAAGGAAAGTGGATTAGTACAATGGGAAGATACAGAAAAGTAAGCTGTGTTGGTAGCTGCATCTTATGGCTTACTCCATTATAAAGCTTGGCCATGTCAAGTCGATCAACTTGATTATTGGATGGATATTCTCCGGCTGCTAGATCTACATATTGGGATCATAGTCAGCAACTTGAAATTTTCATGCATACAATAAAAAAAATCATAAATATATCATGGATACTTATCTCCTAGTGCATACCTTCACATTTTTTCTTTCGTTCATTTTTTAAATAAAAAAAAACAATAAATTTCAGTCAGGCCAATTGGGGTAGTAAGACCGTTCTTGGTTATGTTTATATCTTATAATAACTCACTAGCCATCTATCTGTAACAAATATCACATTAAATCCATTCCTTCAACAATGAATTGAGAGATTTAATACGAAATATGGACCCAGCTTGAGATCAACGTCTCAAAACAAGCAACAAATGACTTGAGTGAATGATAAGAAAACCCCTATAATCAAACACCATCAGTAAGGGGCAAATCTACTCAAAAGTAAATGCCAAAGAACCTCCGAAACACAGTTTCGGACATGCATTCTACGAACCAAATAGAGAAATAAATAAATAAACGTCCAACAGATGCCCATTATCTTACATTAGAATAATGAGTAGATGTGAGACAAAGCTGGGTAATTTATAGTAGAAAGGTAGTCTATCTTTGTATGTGTACACTAATCTGTCTTATATTCACAATTTCATACTTATTATCAAAACAATGAGGTTTTTCCGCATGTGCAGCATTCAGTGATGTGACAAAGAAAATACAAGGAAAAGCTCACATAAGCCGTGAACATCCAACAGCAACACTTCTGTAGTGTTTCATTTAATGAAGCATTAAGTAGGAAAGATACAAAACTGTAAGAGGTCTCACCCACTTTGATGGGTCAAAGTTTTAATGAATTGTTAATTTTGGGAACTGAGGGTTCTTCTCATTTATCCTATTTACCTTGTTTCATATATGTCATGGGCAGTGGGGCTTGCTGGTGCAGGTTTCCCATGGGAGAAACAGGAGCATGCTAATGGTGCAAAGATATCCTAGCTTGACCTGAGCTCATTTAATTTATCGCAAAAGGTATCGCTGAATTGAGCTTAGTATTGCAACTTAAAAAAAATTCCACTATGCTTCTGTATAATAATTGCTGAGTCGAGCCATGAACATCCAACAGCATAAATCCTACAACCTGCTCTTTGACCCAGTGTAATAATGAGAGCCATAGAGAAATTACTTTGATATATCTATATTGCAATACATGACATTTGGTTGACTATGCCGTTTTGTCTTGTAGAAATGAAAGAACGTTGAACTAATGATCAATTTTGAAGGAACCAAAGTATGATTCACAAAAGCTTTGCAACATACGCATTCTAGTGCCATTTCAGCAACACAGTAATAATGTAGATATGTTCAAAGTACATGCTTGTTAAATATATAATGGAACGAGCAACTCTACCCAACAATGATCATAGATGGTATCCATTTAGAACTTTCTAAGAAGACAATTTAAAATCACATATTGAATCAATTCCATATAGAACAAGATGTCACCATTTGTTTTTTTTTTAATAAACGGTGTCAAGGACCTATTCTACAAGTTTAAAACGGAAAAAATATATAGATTATGATTCCCAACAATGGATTTGTACTAAACCATAGCAGCTTGACATATTCTTGTGTCCCCAACAGTTTGGTAGAAAATGTGTTTTTTGATCAAGAAAAAGAAATTTTCAAAACCGACCCAAATCATGTTTTTATTTTCAAAACCGACCCACTTTTTTTTATTTATCAAAATCGACTCACTTTTTGCCATGTCAACTTAATCTCATTTCCTAATTAGTCGGGATTGCCAACCCCGACTATTTAGGACAGCAAAAACCGGATTTAAGGCTTTTTAACAATCTCCTAAACAGTCGGGGTTGCCAACCCCGACTGTTTAAGAATGGGATTAAGCTGACGTGGCAAAAAGTGGGTCGATTTTGATAAATAAATAAAAAGTGGGTCGGTTTTGAAAATAAAAACATGGTTTGGGTCGGTTTTGAAAATTTCTTCTCGAGAAGAATTATGCATTTGAATTTCCCTAAAAACCAGGGATTACCACAATCAGCGGGGTGTATCCTTTAACCGAGGCCTTACATCTCTTTGACTAAGATTTGAAATCTCGGTATGGCTTGCGGTTTCTTATTGGCTTTTCTTGTACAAACACTGGATTTTTCGACAATTTTGACAATTTCATATCATAATTATTAGATTCTTCGTCAATGTTTTAACAATCGGATTTTGGGGAAATATCGGACAAACAAAATCCATATTGGATTGCGGAAATTTGGGAAATATTAGGGATATATAGTAAACATCGGAGATATATAGTAAACATTGGAGTGCCATATTGATGACGTGCATATATAATATAATGTCCTTAAATGTAATCTAAACATAGTTGATGAAATATAAGCATACAAAATGTAAATAATATTTAAGAACCCTAACCAATCTTTTGAAACAAATAAAGGTCCAAATTGACATTACAACATTGCAGCCAGTTTTTTTAGGCCGAAATGTCGCTTGATATTGGAAAAATCGTGATATATAGTCGTCCAAAAATTGCCAAAATTAGTATAGTATTTTGTGACAAGTCATATAAAAAGACATATCAACCATGTTGACATATCGCCCAAAATTGCCAAAAAGTGAAAGGCTATTGAGATCATCGTTTCGTAGAAAGGCTTATGAAAGGATATATCGGCCAATTTATAGGGCCATGTTGGGGATATTAAAAACAATGTTCTTTGTGCCATATTTTTTTCACTGTTATATGAAAAATCAGAATTTAATCAAAAGACTTCCATTTTTTATTATTATTTTTTACTCTGCTAATAAAACACCACTAGTTCAAGTTTTCACTTCAAATCCCAGAATTCCTCAATCATATCAGCCAATATTCCTGTTTTACCCTGTTTCAACTGGATCTCACAACATGCTTTAAATTCAATATGATACAGTATGTATCAGTATCCACTGGTTTCTAAAACCTTGCCTTTGACATTAACTTTAGATTTCATTTTCCAGACCTAGATTTTTATTTTGTCGAGCCTTTCATATGTAAGATTTTTAAGTTCAACATGACCAACTCAAAGGTTAACAACAATAAAACTTCTGCATATCTTTGCAGCTATTCAGAAGCTCTTTAAAATAAAAAAATAACAAAAGCAGAAAAGAACTGAGCAAGAGTGAAATTGTGATTTGATCACTAGTGCTTTGAAATTGCATGGCTGATTGGAAAACAAAATGATGCCAAGAATACAGACACATTAAATAAAGGATCAACTTTGATTTTATTGATACGAACATGGAAGAAGTAAAATTTTTAAAAACCGTACCAATTGGTTCCAAATCAGGTAATTCTTTCAGTAATGTATTCATATCTCCTGTGGTTTCACCAGGCGCATCAGTGACCACTGGTTCAATCTCCGGGTCTTTGCTTATTGGACCACGGGGGTTGGCTTTATCCTGCAATATGTCAAACCAACTAGAAACAGTAAGTTTGAAGATAACAAAAAGGTTACGTATAATCATATTGGCAGTCAAGAAGTGGAGTTCCCCTTTATTAGGAGAGGAGGTGGGGATTGGAGAACGTAGAAATATATAGGAAGCCAGGACAATAATCATTCTTTAACAAGACAAGATAAAAAAGAATATCTGAAAGTTTCACACTTGGACTTGATAAATGATATAAATTCCAGCTTTATATGTTAAACAAAACTGAAGTTTACAAACTTTAGCTTATTCTACAATCACCTAAGAACCTGAGATGACATGACACTGATGCAAAAGAAGAAGAAAGAGAAGCAGGACTAGAGAGTTACGATAAAAGCCAACACTAGTGCCGAGGGAGGGAGGAGGGTGAGGACCAACAAAACATGGAACTGAGAGTCGAGGATAAGTAAAAGATTATATTGTAAGATGTTCACAGCTCAACTTCAAGCAAAAGTGTCAGTCACACCTTGCGGTCAATTAGATCGAAAGGAGAAAATCATCTATAACATGTTCAGAATTTTTGTTATGAGTGGATCACACACAGTCGGAATTTGGTCATGAGAGGGAATCATATACTGTAATAAATTTCAGTGGTTTTCAGACTTAAAAAAACATCTGCAACACAAATGAGGATGCGCACGTGCATATGCATGAACAATGTTCCAGAACGCTGAAAGTGAATATTATGGTAATGAGCCTCTATGCCCCTCAGAAGTTAGCGGTCGCCGTTGGGATATTTGATTAATAGACAAAAAATTATATTATTACTATGAATACATAAAAACATGAATATACAGGGGGGGAGTTACTTCCAATAGAATCCACTCCCTTAAAGGCGATATGCACCCTTTAAAGTGCCAAAATAATTTAAAAGAAAATCAAGTGATTTAAACTTTTTTGCTCATGCACCAAGCACAAACGGAACAGCTGAAAGTAGTATATCAGATGTATGACTTGGACATATAAATTTTGATCTAACCATTTAAACAGGATGTGAACACTTAAAATCATTTGCATGCCAATTTTGGTTAGATCTAAAAAAACTATAAGATCAATAACTAAGAAGCTTGATAATTAAGTCATTCATCTTGTACACATTTGATGCCTAGGTTAAAAAAAACCTCAAATGCCTGCTTTTTGTTTTTAAGCATTTCAATAAAGTAGATCAAGCAGAACAAAGCAATCTTTAACTTGAAATTCCTATCAATGACTTTGAAATAAGGATTTGTGAGAAATCAAAAACTCATGCCAAAATCCCTATAATTAAGAGATCTTTACTATTTTCATCGCGTAAAAATAAAAAGCAGATCATATCCTCAACAAGATCAAAACACTTGAGGAAGATTGGGGAAAAAAAGCTTATCACCGCTGAAACCGCAAAGAACCTATAATACAAATAATAAGGTGGATCATGTCCATGAACGTGACCAAAACATCATGATGAAGAATTGAGATTTGAAAAACAAATCTGTCAAAGAAAATTCATATTAAGAATCAAGAAAAAGAATAATGAATAGATTAAAATTAGAGCATACCTTCAAACTGCATCAAATTATTGAGATGAAGATTAAAAAAGAAAAGGCTTTTTACTTGCATACCCCACAAATCCATCATAATTTAATTTACCTCCAAATCTTCATCTTTGCCAAATTACCTTCTAATTCACAACAAGACCTTTACCTTACCGTAGGCAGCGTGGGTATGGGTGTGGACACGGACACGGGCATGGTTAGGGACACAGGACACGGCAAATTTATAAAATGTGGGACATGGGGACACGCGCGCGCGCGCACACACATATATATGTAAGGAATATGGGTTTGCTTGGTACCGAGCATAAACTTAGTACTTAGTAGTGAGGTAGCCCATTCTCATCCACTTACTTAAAAGGTGGCAGCACACTCACATGAGTGCACATGGGTTAGATAATTAAGGGTGATTATTTTCAAGTGGGGCCCATTTGAATGAGTCACCTCACTACTAAGTACCAAGTTTGTACTTGGTACTAAGCATATCCATCATATCCATCATATCCATCTCTCTCTCTCTCTTCCCCCCCCCCCCCCCCCCCCCCCCCCCCCCCACACAAACACACGCACACACACATTAGATTAAATGTTGAACTAAAAATACTTATAATATTTGTATTTACTAAACTAATAATAAGGTTTAAACAACAAAAGTTTAGCTTTGATCGCATGGGAATATACGATGGGTATTTTTTAAAAATTTAATTAATGAGTTTCAATTTTTAGGTTTAAAAGCCGATTGGTTTTGAAGCCAATATTACTAAAGAAGCTAGTTTACTGTATAAGTAATAGGAAAAACATGTTCTACTTTAAACCACACGTGTCTATGGCATGTCCGCAAAAGATCCTTGTTACATAAACACGGCATCCAAAACGCCTAAATTTCTTTGTTAGGGAATACTCTTGGTATATGTTCTATTGAATTAAGTTGATTTATGTTTTTAAACTATGACTAAACCAACCCTAGTATAAACAGAGCATGTTTGGAAACTTTGGATTATAATCCACTATAATCCAAATGGATTGTAATATAGTCTTTGATAAGTTTAGTGGATTATAATCCATAGTCTTTGGTAAGTTTAGTGGATTATAATCTATTTTTAATAGTAGAGTGTTATGCAGAGGGGTGGGATTATAATGCATCATTGTTGTCAAAATAACCAAAAAAGACAAAGATCGGCGGTGAGTTGTTAAATAAGTCCTTAGATTTTGTGAAATCGTAAGGGGTATAATTATCATGTACTTAGTTAAACCTCATGCCTTATAAACCACAAAAAAATATGCTAGGATACCCCAGCTTATTTTTTGGTCGGTCATACGCCAAAATAAACCACTTGCCAAACATCTCAAAGTGATTCATAAGCCACAAAAGTGGGTTATGAGCCAATTTAACCATTTGTCAAACATGTGTTGGGCTTTTTGTTTTGATGATGTTTAACAAACAATTTACTACTAATATTGTTTGTCTAGTGTTTGTGTTTTCCTATTTATTATAGACAAACAATATGTTAGAGGTTGGATGGAATCGAACATTCACGATCATATCCAATGGAGGTTGGCAGAATATCGGTATGAAGCTTCACAATTCAAGTTGATAATCCAAGTTTAAGCTTCATCCGCAAGTGTACCAAGTCGAGCTTATTGAAGACCTATAGCTTGGGTAATCTAGTTTAGGAGTTTATATTATGTGTGTTTAGTACTTTAAGATCAATATCATATACATACACATTTTATTGGTTTCTATGTATGTATATATATATATATATATATATATATATATATATATACATACATGTTTTGGTTTTCAAGTTTATATAAATATGAAATTACATATTTCATATTTATTGTTTTGATTTGGTTTAGCTTTATAGATATGAAACAAATATACATTCATATACATATTTTATGTTTCATATATCATTTTGTTAAATGCGTATTGTACAAAACTTCATTTTTGCATAATATTGAGTTTTTGGTTTATAGACTTATCAACAATAGTTTATATCTTTAATCAAGTCTATAAAATTGTTTACAAAGTTTTAAAACTTGATTTATGTCAAAACATCAAAATTCAAGTATCTCATGTTTTCATGTTTTGGACATATTTGCAAAATGATGATATTTCACAAATGGGAGGTGCTTTTTGAAAACCAGTTTTTGTAACACGTTCATTTTCATGTTAACAATCATTTTTCAAAGTTTTACATTTTCTGAATTTGTTTACTATTTTTAAATCGAGTCTAAAAATCAAATTTTTAGTTTTCAGCCTGCGTATCAGAAATATCAGTTCACGGTCGACCGTGTGTGTCGCTGCGGTCGACCACAAAAAATCCAGAGACTCAGCCTGTTTTCTCAGCTGCTCACGATCGACTGGACTGGCCTCTGCAGTCGACCGCCAATGTTACCGTTACACAGTAACAGTAACTTGCTGATTTTGTTTATTTTATTGATTTTTATGGGTTTTGGGTGTTTTCTTGGGTTGTTTTCTTCTTTATTGATTTTTATGGGTTTTGGGTGTTTTCTTGGGTTGTTTTCTTCCACCCTATATATACCCCATTGTCATAACCATTTGAACAACTAAGAGAGTTTTTCTTGGGTTGTTTTCTTCCACCCTATATATACCCCATTGTCATAACCATTTGAACAACTAAGAGAGTTTTAAAAAGAGTTTAATTGTGTTTAACAATTGTTTAAGTTTGTTTAGTTTGTTTAAAGCTTGGTTTGTGAAGATATTTTCACAAGAGGAAGTGGAGATTAATTCTTGGTGTTTGAGTTTCAATTCATCTCTCCTACTCTTTGTCATTTTAGAGAAGTTTTTCTAAACTCAATTTCTAGCTTTATATTTACATTGTTTATTGATTATTATCTCTATAAGCTAGATTTTCATAACTGAGTTTAGATTTGTTTTGATTATACTCTTTGTTCACACACAACCTATTGAGCTTACTGTATTTACATACATAGTATAATTTGAGGTTGTAGGTTTGTGACTTAAGAGTATGAGTTTTCATTGTGTTCTTGTCCATAGTAGAGAACAAACATTTGTTGTATTGAGCCTAATTATGACGATACACTTTGTAATACACTTATACACCGAGAGGAGTGTGTGGTGAGAGACGAGGTCGTCCCAAGAGGAGTGGGTTAGGTGGTAATGCCTAGAGGTAGGTTGTAATTTCTAATACTTGAGGGAGACACGGGCTAAAGACCAACACTTAGAGGATGTAAAGTGGGATTACAAGAGTGAAATCGTAAAGTTTTCGATGAGCTAAAACCGAGTGTGTGGTGTAAACATTATTCGGGTGAGCGTAGAAAACTCGGTTGTGATAGTGGATTTCTTTTCGGATGTGGGGAGCGGAGACGTAGGACGGAAGGTCCGAACTCCATGATCATATTGCTTGTTTGAGTTTGCATTGACGCACTCTTTTTGTTCATCTTATTTAGTCATTGCCTCTTTGTTTATATTGTCCACTATTTTGCTTACTCTTGTTTATATTACTTATCCTTGCATATATATCTTGTGGCATATCATATTTGCTAGGATATTTGTTTACTCGAGGGTTCTTTCCTAGTAGGACTAGGATTAGAGTCTAACAATTAGTATCAGAGCTTGGTGCTTTTGATTAGAGGCATAATCACCTAGAGTCAAAATTCATTGTTCTCATATTTGTGCTAATCTAATTTTGAGATTTATTGTTATCTTGCTTGCATATACATATATATATCATGGATATGAATGGTGCATCTTGTTTAGGCTATGATCCTAGTATTACTCCTAAATTTAATGCTTTCCCCTATGCTCAATGGTGTTTTAGATTTAAGCTATTTGTTAGATCTAAAAATATTGATTTGTGGGAAGTCGTTAATAATGCTTATGTTGTGCCCACTTTGGAGAAATCCAAGTAGAGCAAAAATGATAAGAAAATGTTTACAATGAATAAGCTTGTTTTAGAATTTTTATTAAATGCATTTGATCCATCTATGTCTAACAAGCTTGATTCTTTTGATAGCGCTTATACATTATGAAAATTCTTAGAAGCGCATCAAGGAGACTTGGAGGAGATTCGACACGTTGTGACGGAATCGACTTCAAGTAATAGTGGAGCATCATCATCATGCACACGGCCACTAGGCGATAGCCCTAATGTGGTAAGTGATTTCGATTCCGAAAGTGAGCTTTCAATTAATGAACTCGCTTGTGCATATGATAGATTAATGCATGCCTATAAGAAATTGCACAATAATTTTATTGATCTTAAAAGCAAGCATATTAGTTTGAAATCCGATCATGAGTTGTTAGCCTCTAAGTTTGATGATATTTCAAATGAGAATGTGATTCTCAACGAAAAGAATGATAAATTAAAATTGGATCATGATTCTTTAATTTCAAATGTGGCTAATTTAACTCATGAAAAAGATAATATCATATTAGAAGTAGAGAACATTAGAAATGAGTTTAATTCTTTTAGAAATGATCATATATGTTCTACTTCTAAATTTCTAATATCAATACAAATATGTCTGATGATGAGTTGAATCATATTAAGGATCGCATATCATCTTTAGATTCAACCCTTAAAATATGCATTGTTAAAAATGATAAGTTTATGGACTTGTTTGCAAAGCCCCATATTAATTCTTTCAAGAAACCTATACAATATACACACATATATAACAAAATTTACAAGTGTTCAATTTGCGGTCGAAAAACCATATTGCTAAATTTTGTTATAATGCACAAAAACCCATCAATACATAATTCTTGTGCATTCCATCAAGTTTTTTCATCACACACACATGCACATGTATCAAATGCTCATCATAAGCATGCTAGTATGTTTAAATGTGATTATTGTGGTCGTTTTGATCATTTGGCCAAATATTATTTTGATTTGAAAAGAAAATCTAGTTTGTCAAATCTTTCTAGTAGACCACATGTTTTTAAGTGTGATGTTTGTGATAGGTTTGGACATCTTACAAAATTTTATTTTGATTTACAAAAAGCTTCCCTTTAGCAAAATGTTCCAATAAGACCACCTTTGTTTGATGATGTTTCCCATTTGCAAAATAAATTTAAAAGACCATCTTTTCTTACAAATGATTTCCGTGCACGTCTACTTGGTCAACACAAATCATTTACCCATTTTCATTGCACATTTTGCAATCGAAAAAGTCGTGTATATGACTATTGTTTTGATCGTGTTAGTGCACCACATGCGTCTAAAAGAGATCATAACCCTAGGACATTGAGCTTTAATGATAGGGATCATGTCCCTAGACTCTTAGGTACCAAGAGTAATTGGGTACCAAAACAAGTTTGACTTTAAATCAAGATTTTTAGTGTTTTTATTTTTTATTTCTTTGTTTTGAAAAACGTGTTTTGAAGTTTTTGTAAATGAAGATAATTTTCTTTTGGTCAACTCTTTTGTTATATTGACTTTGATTTTGATGAGAGGTTTGCGTTTAAGCAACCCCCCTCCGTATTTATTGGTTATCTACGTCCAAATCATGTTTACCGGGTACTAAAAGTATTTATATGGGTTAGAACAAGCTTAAGAGCTTGATATATGTTTGCCACTCTTCTTCTTGTCAAATGACATATTTTTATTGATTTTGATTTCATGGGATTTATGAATTCATTCGTTTAATTTGTTTTCATTTGGATTTTTTTTTCATGATTCTCATGTTTTTCTTCCATTTGTTTTCATAAATCTATTTATACATTGTTTTTACATTTGTGTATTAAGACACTTTTTTATATTGATATATCTATATGTGTTCTCATTATCTTGTTGTATGCTAAGAAGCACCGACTCGTGAAAACTCCCCCAGTCCCCGTGTCCGACGCTTGTCGGGGACGGACGCGCGTTCGACACGCGTTCGACACGCGTCGGACACGACGTCAACGGCGTCGACACGGTCAGCTCTAGTCGACACGGCGAAGTTGAGGGCGACACGGCGAAGTTGAGGGCGACACGGCGAAACCAGACTTTGAAACCCAAACCCGAAACCCAAACCCGAAACCCAATTTCAAACAGAAACACAAACCCTAACCCTAGTCGTGACTCGTGAGAAAACTTACCCGATTTCTCGTCGAAAGGGCTCTTGCGAAGTGAAGAGGCGCCGCCAGCTCTCAGTCTCCTCGTCGTCGTCGTCAGCGTCGTCGTCGTCGTCGTCAGCTCCAAGGTCAGTCTCTCTCTCTCTCCCCCCCTCTCTCTCTCTCTCCGATCGATCTCTCGCTCTCTCTCATCCCTTTCCCTCTGGTTCTCTCTTTCTCTCTCTTTCTTATCTCTTTCTTATCTCTTTCTCTCCCACATTTATCTCTTTCACACTCTCTCCACAAAAAAAACCCAGAAACTTTCCCGTTTCACAAAAAACCCCCACGAACGCCTCATTCACCCCACCATCCACTGTTCTCCCCCTCTCTCTCGAAAAAATCGCACACGAGTTTCAAAGGACCTCTGCCCCCCCCACTACGTTGGTTTTTTATTTTAAAAAAGCTGATTACTGTTTACTGTTTTGTCATTTTTCCAACTGTTGGATGCTTCACTGTTTGAGGCTGCTTAGTTTGGTATTCTCATAGTTAACTGTTGATGGTTGGGTTAAACCCTTTTTTTTTGTTGTTCTGTTGCTGTTGATTAATTGGGATGATAATCTCTGCTTATTTACTATTTTGCTGCTTTATTACCGTATTAACTGTTATTAATTATTCTTTTTTATACTGTTTTGCTACTGCTAGATGATTTTCTAATGTTAACTAGGATATTGTTAACTGTTAGGGTGTTAATTAGGATATTGTTAGCTGTTATTTGCTTACTGTTCTACTATTGTATGCTAATTTAAATGTTAATTAGGATTGTTTAGCTGTTGTTTGATGTTAATTAGGATATTGTTTACTGTTCTACTATTGTTTGCTTTTAGTTTACTGTTCTACTATTATTAATTTCTTAATTTATTGTTATTGCTTATATTTTACAGAAATGGAACAAGACGGGAGTTCTAGTGGTAGTGGAATACCTTATATTTTACAGAAATGGAACAAGACGGGAGTTCTAGTGGTAGTGGAATACAAGATGACAAATGTCCTCTTTGGAAATATGTTACCAAATTAAAGAAAAGAGGGGGAACGGCAGGAGGAAATTGGAGATGGAGATGTAATTATTGCAGAGAGGATTTTACTGGTTCACACTCAATAGTTAAAAATCACCTCTTGAGAATAAGTGGGACTGGAATTAAGATGTGTTCCAAGTCAACACCCGAAAATTTAAGGGAGTTTCAAAGGACGTTGGATCAAGCAGAGGCGAGGTTGATGGCTTCTAGGCCTAAGATGTCAGTTTTGCCTACATCTTCGACTGCAAGTACGGCCGGTGTAGGTGCAAGTGTAAGCATGCCGATTGATGCAGGTGGATTTAAGAGGGGGAGGGGGCCTAATACCGTGGAACAAGCATTCAACATGGGAGCAAGGGAGGAATTGGATGCATTGATTGGTAGGATGTTCTTCACGGGGGGATTGTCCTTCAACTTGACAAGGAATCTATATTATGCCAAAGCTTTTGCATATGCCGCAAACAATCCAATTTCTGGCTACAAGCCTCCTGGTTACAATTTCATGAGGACCACTATCTTACAACGTGAGAAAACTCACGTAGAGAGATTGATGGAGCCCATCAGGGGTACATGGCAACAGAAGGGAGTCTCCATTTGTAGTGATGGGTGGGCGGATGCACAAAGGAGGCCCATCATCAATTTTATGGCGGTATGTGAGGGTAAGCCAATGTTCTTGAATGCCGTGAATGTCGAGGGAGAAGTCAAGAATAAGTATTTTATCCAAACACAGCTAGAAAAGTGCATCACAGAGGTAGGACCGAAAAATATCATCCAAATCATAACCGATAATGCTTCGGCATGCAAGACCGCGGGAAGGCTTGTGGAGCAAACTTTGCCTCACATATTTTGGACTTCTTGTGTAGTCCATACACTCAATCTTGCTGTCAAGAATATTTGTGCGGCTAAGAACACGGAAGCAAATGCCGTGACTTATGCACAATTACATTGGATTACAGAGATCTCCGATGATGCATTGTTTATTAAGAATTTTATCATGAACCACTCTATGCGGCTTTTCATATTCAATGATTTTTCCAAGATGAAGCTCCTATCAATTGCCGACACAAGATTTGCCTCGTGGATTATTATGTTGAAGAGGTTTAAGGTCGTCAAGAGAGGCCTCTAAGACATGGTCCTTAGTGATCGATGGAGCTTATATAGAGACGATGATGTGGAGAAAGCTCAATTTGTGAAAGAGAAAGTCCTCGATGATTTGTGGTGGGACAAGATAGATTTTATTCTTGACTTCACCGGCCCAATCTATGAAATGATAAGGGTCACCGACACTGATACACCATGTCTTCATTTGGTGTATGATATGTGGGATACAATGATTGAGAAGGTGAAGCAAGCTATTTACAGGCATGAGGGTAAAAGGGATAACGAGGAATCTCCTTTTTATGAGGTGGTTCACAAGATCTTGGTGGATCGATGGAACAAGGGAAACACCCCGCTTCAGTGCTTGACACTCTTTAGTTCCAAGGTAATATTTCACATTTTACTCTTTAATGCGAATATTTCAATTAATTTTAATACATGAATTTCTTCTCACAAACATAGGTACTATCATTCCACATGGCTCAATGAGAACGTCAATCGGCAACCTCCAAATCAAGATCTTGAGATCTCTACAGAAAGATCAAAGTGCTTAAGAAGATATTATCCTAACCCCGATGAACGATTGATGGTGAACTTGGAATATGCTAAGTTTGTAGGGTCTTTGGAGGCTTTTGGTGATCCGGATTCTCTTTCCGATAGAGGACATATGGATCCAAAGTCATGGTGGCTTCTTTATGGTGCAAGTGCTCCAAATTTGCAAGCATTGGCCATAAAGCTTCTAGGCCAACCTTGTTCCTCTTCTTGTTGTGAACGGAATTGGAGTACGTATGGTTTCATTCACTCCTTAAAGAGGAACAAGCTAACCCCGACACGGACGGAGGATCTTGTTTATGTTCACACCAACATTCGTTTACTTTCTCGGAATTCGGAAGAGTATATGGAAGGGGAATCAAGAATGTGGGATATTGGTGGAGATGCCTTCGACTCATTTCAAGGAGCCGGCATGTTAGATGTTGTTGCCCTTTCTCTTGACGAGCCCACGATGGAGGCCATTGTGTTTGATGAGGATGAAAGAGTTGAATCCATAGAATAATCTTTTTGATGTTTCAACTTAAAAACTTTATTTTAAGATATGCTTTTGAGTGTAATTTTTATATTTTTGTAATGTTAGTAACTTAGTATTTTGTAGTCATTGAACTAGTTGCTACTTGAACTTTATTCTCTTGTATTTTTATATGCTCAAGATGAAAGTAGTGAAAATTAAAAAATCTAGCCGTGTCGCCGTATCCTATTTTTTGGGGTTTTGCTGTATCCGTGTCCGTGTCCGTGTCGTGTCCGTGTCGTGTCCGTGCTTCATAGGTTGTATGTGAGTTTTACCTAGCACGTTTTCATCTATGTTTGCTCACATATGTTTGCCTTGGTCATCATTGCATATATTCATTAAGGTATTTTGATAGGGGAGCCATCCCTATTTCTATTATTTGTTTTTATACTCACCATGTTTATAGGTAGGGGGAGCTTTCGCTTTCTTATTTCTTTTATAACCCCATTTTTTATGTTGTCAAAAGGAAAGAAATATTGTATGTATTTCTTGTTTATATGCATGATAATTATAATTTATATATTCATTTCCTTTCATGCATACATCCCTTTGTAAATTGTTTGTCATCGTCAAAAAAGGGAAGATTGTTGGCATTTTTGTTTTGATTATGTTTAACAAATAATTTACTACTAATATTGTTTGTCTAATATTTGTGTTTTTCTATTTATTATAGACAAACAATAAGTTAAAGGTTGGATGGAATCGAGCATTCACGATCATATCCAATGGAGGTTGGTGGAATATCGGTATGAAGCTTTGCAATTCAAGTTAAAGATCCAAGTTCAAGCTTCATCCGCAAGTGTACCAAGTCGAGCTTATTGAAGACTTATAGCTTGGATAATCTAGTTTAGGAGTTTATATTATGTGTGTTTAGTACTTTAAGCTCAATATCATATACACACACATTTTATTGGTTTCTATGTATATATATATAGTTATATATATATACATATTTTACTTTTTGGTTTCTATGTATATATATAATTATATATATACATACATGTTTTGGTTTTCAAGTTTATATAAATATGAAATTACATATTTCATATTTATTGTTTTGATTTGGTTTAGCTTTATAGATATGAAACAAATATACATTCATATACATATTTTATGTTTCATATAATGAAACAAATATACATTCATATACATATTTTATGTTTCATATATATCATTTTGTTAAATGCATATTGTACAAAACTTTATTTTTGCATAATATTGAGTTTTTGGTTTATAGACTTATCAACAATAGTTTATATCTTTAATCAAGTCTATAAAATTATTTTACAAAGTTTCAAAACTTGGTTTATGTCAAAACATCAAAATTCAAGTATCTCATGTTTTCATGTTTTGGACATATTTGTAAAATGATGATATTTTACAAATGGGAGGTGCTTTTTGAAAACTAGTTTTTGTAACATGTTCATTTTTATGTTTACAATCATTTCCCAAAGTTTTACATTTTTCTGAATTTGTTTACTATTTTTAAATCGAGTCTAAAAATCAGATTTTTAGTTTTCAGCCTGCGTATCAGAAATATCAGTTCACGGTCAACTGCGTGTCGCTGCAGCCGACCACGAAAAATCCAGAGACTCGGCCTGTTTTCTCAGCTACTCACGGTCGACTGGACTGGCATCTGCGGTCGACCGCCAATGTTACCGTTACACAATAACGGTAACTTACTGATTTTATTTATTTTATTGATTTTTATGGGTTTTTGGTGTTTTCTTGGGTTGTTTTCTTCCACCCTATATATATCTCATTGTCATAACCATTTGAACAACTAAGAGAGTTTTAAAAAGAGTTTAAGTGTGTTTAACAATTGTTTAAAGTTTGTTTAGTTTGTTTAAAGCTTGGTTTGTGAAGATATTTTCACAAGAGGAAGTGAAGATCAATTCTTGGTGTTTGAGCTTCAATTCATCTCTCCTACTCTTATCATTTTAGAGAAGTTTTTCTAAACTCAATTTCTAGTTTTATATTTACATTGTTTATTGATTATTATCTCTATAAGCTAGATTTTCATAATTGAGTTTAGATTTGTTTTGATTATACTTTTTGTTCACACACAACCTATTGAGCTTACTGTATTTACATACATAGTATAATTTGGGGTTGTGGGTTTGTGACTTAGAGTATGAGTTTTCATTGTGTTCTTGTCCATAGTAGAGAACAAACATTTGTTGTATTGAGCTTAATTATGACGATACATTTTGTAATACACTTGTACACCGAGAGGAGTGTGTGGTGAGAGACGGGATCGTCCTAAGAGGAGTGGGATAGGTGATAATGCCTAGAGGTAGGTTGTAATTTCTAGCACTTGAGGGAGATACGAGCTAGAGACCAACACTTAGAGGGTGTAAAGTGAGATTACAAGAGTGAAATCGTAAAGTTTTCGATGAGCTAAAACCGAGTGTGTGGTGTAAATATTATTCGGGTGAGCGTAGAAAACTCGGTTGTGATAGTGGATTTCTTTTCGGGTGTGGGGAGCGGAGACGTAGGACGGAAGGTCCGAACTCCGTGATCATATTGCTTGTTTGAGTTTGCATTGGCGCACTCTTTTTGTTCATCTTATTTAGTCATTGCCTCTTTCTTTATATTGTCCACTATTTTGTTTACTCTTGTTTATATTACTTATCATTGCATATATGTCTTGTTGCATATCATATTTGCTAGGATATTTGTTAATGAGTTTTAAATTGGCATAAATCGAATTAGATTAGCATAAATTCTATTCACCCTACCCCCTTTAGGGTTCTTTCCTAGTGGCATTAGGGTCTAACAACATACTCTTAGTTAAACTGATTAACCTATCTTACTGCTAATTCATTTGTCTCCTCACACTTTCCTTCTGCCTCTCTTAGGTACAGAGGGAGAGGGTGGGACTCCTCTTTTCTTCTTCCATTTCTCATTTCTCCGATCCTTCGCAAACTAAAGTACAACACAAATCCCGGGTTAGGCCTTAGTTCTGAATTGTTTGTAAGCCTTATGACTTCCTTTAGGGATATCATTAACCTTGTAACAATACATTTGATAATTGTGATGATTATATTCATTAAAATTATTGTAAAGCATTTTTATTATTAAATATTTAAAATATATAATAAAACACATAACTATATTATCATTATGTATTACTTTATTTTGCGTTTTATGTTATCGAGAGGCAAGCTTTCTGTCATGCATTATACCGTTATTATCAACATTGCTAGACAATATCTTGATTCTCAATATTTTGTCGGACTAGTTAACATGGAAACATACTTTCTATGACATAACCTACAATTTTTTGTGACCTTATCATTCATTACATTATCAAAGATATAAGGCACCCAATTTCTCTGAATTGTCCTAATTCCTAACTCGGCTAAAGGTTAGGAATTAGTTGTCTCTTTTCAATAGATGGTTATCCGGTAAAAGCTGGAGAGGGCTTAATGATAGTTTCTTCCCCCTTAATGGTAGATTCTTGATAGCTATATTGGGCCTTCATCAAAAGTAAACAAAAAAAGGCAAATAGAGTCAAATTCCAATTCGTAAAAACTTGTTGAAAATCTGAACAAATAAAACAAATGAAAAACTAAAATCTTAAAGTCTCTCCTAATAGCGAGGAAGTTATCAATCTGAGGATTACAAATAAAAACGAAAGATAACTTACAACTTCATCCAAACAGAATTCCAAATCCAAAATCTTCTCCAGCAGTTGATATCTTTTTCGTATAAATTCAACAATCCTTCTTTGCACTTCACGGAATTGATAGAGGGTGGAGTAATCAGAATTGGACTGGTTTCCTTTTGTAACATCTGGAGTTTCCTACATAACAGGAGTAAAAACTCAAACATGATCGTGTTGATCTTTTTAAGTGAACAACCATGCCTCCTTTTAATTAAATAACTAACATTGAAAGAGTTGCTAGAACCATCACCCATCTGGACTCCTCCAGCAGATGGTCCATTTAAGACAGGAAGGCTTAATTCTCGGCGACCAACTTCAACAAGCCCAAGGTCTTTATCTTCAACAATAGCCTGCCATCTTGCATAGCCATGCCTTGCATCCAAAAATGAGATAAGATGACTTGACCAGTGAACCAAAAACATAAAAGATATAAAATAGCTATTAATAATAAAAATTCTAAAGCCACTGACTTATTTCTCAAATATTGCAATAAACTAATGGAACGAACTTTTTCAAAACTGACTTTTATAATAATAGTTATCTATAATTAAAACATATTATATGCTACAGATTTATCATTGATTGTTACTTAATCAGATACTTGAAAAATGTCAATTTACTATATTTGCATGAAGCAAAAAGTTTACAAACTATGATGAGTGCTCAATAAACTAAAATTTCAATACTTAATGACTGAGAATAAAAAAGAGCTTGATACCTTAAAATAGCTTTTAATAGCAATATATCATGCTCTTCCTTCCAAATTCTTCCACTCAAGCTGGGGTAGCATTCTCGCACATCTTTAGGAAAAAGAGAAGCCCCAGGATTGTCTTCCAAAATTTTCAGCTGCCAAAACATAAAATATCAAACAAAAACACAAATAAACATGGTGTATATATTTACATCTACCAGCACGGAAAAAGAGAGTTCTGTGCTCTTTAATGAACAACTTTAAAGCCTCCAGATATGTCCTTTTGGGTCTGTCATATTTTAGGTACCCGAAGTTGCCCAAAACTCAATGACAACCATAATACAGGTATTTTACCTTCTTCTCTACAGGTCTTGGTTTGGTTATTCTTCCTGTAAATAGAATAGTTTCTCAACAACATGGTTTATTCTGTTTTTCCATAATTAACCTCTATAGTACCATTTTACCATACTGCCTTGTAATATATCTGATTATGCTTTACAGTTTTAGAATTTGCAAGTTTATAGCTAAATTACTGGACTTAGTAGGCTTATTAAATTTGCAAGGAATTTGTGAGACTTGACAGGTATTTTGATAAGTGATTTTAACTACCTTTGTTGTTAACCCCATTGGGGCTTTCCACTCCCATTATCATGCATACCGTTACTTCAGCCACCATGAATACTAGGTATGATATAGAAAAAAAGAATTTAGTGTATAAGACTCAAACATTAGCCTCTTAATTTGGTTTGATGATTTAATGTTTATAATTTACCTAGGTTTTGGTGAAGTAAGCTATGGTGCATGGGTGTGGGTGCGGACACGGACATGGAAGTAGATAGGGATGGCAAATTTGTAAAAAAAAATAGGATATGAGGACAAGGCTATATATATACAATTGAATTTAATAATTTATATGGGATTTTGATATTGTTTTTTTCATATGCTATGAGAACTAAAATACTCATATCATTTTTATGTTTCTTTTATTCAGTAGATTATAAATTTAAAAACATCTCCTTTCTGAACTAAAAACCCAAACGACTGTTTAAAATCATACTTATGAACTAGGTATGGGTTGTTATGAACTAGGTATGGGTTGAAATGAACCCGACCCAAGTCCAACGAGTTGCAGAAATTTAAGGGGAAGTGTAAGATATACGTCCAAGGAGTGTATCACGAGTGTTCTAAACTAAAAATGTGTTATATAATCAATTACAGGTCTAAATAAATGTATGTATACATTCAAGAAGTGTCCAAGGAGTGTCGGAAAATGGACACATATATGGGAAGTGTCAGACACGGATACAGGAGACTAGATGAAGTTTCCACGTAACCTAGGAAGTAAGACTCAAATATATGTTAGAAATTCTCGGAATCCATAACTATAACGGAGACCTGGATCAGGTATCAACATCAGGAGTTGCAGCAGTAAGAAAGTTTAGGATTTAGACGTATCAGATATTTGCTATTGGTATTATAAAACTTGCAATAAAATATTTGAGCGCATACACACATGTAATTAAGAAATATTAAATATTCTATACCTTTCATTAAATCTTAATATGGAAAAGTTTGAACAAAAAACCATCTAAATGGATTCACGACAGAAAGGCTCTAGGAATTATTTAATGTGTTAAGCCCAATGGTTTACTTTTACTGAAGGACATCTTACATGCTTTTGTCTAATATCAGAGAACCCAGATGCACTCAGGACTTTGGAGTTGTAATAGGAAATAACATCAAGAACACATAATTCACGTGGATGAACTTGGATATAGCAAAAGTGCCAGACTATACATCTACGAATCACTTATTTGGCAGATTAGTAATATTATTGCTCATTTGAAGGGACCAAAGCATGGTAAACAGTGCAACCAACCAACCAGAAATCATTCAGTCAGAACTTCCAGTTTGGTAAACAAGCAAGACGTTCTGAAGTTACCTTTTCCTTTATCAGACTAATATGTGCAAGTCTAACAAGTACATCATCTACTCGTAAGCCTTCTTTTGGCACCCCATCTACATAATTGACAATGAGTATCATTAATTATTATGAATAAAAGCCAAATCTTTTCCATTAAAAAAATTCTATGTGGAAGTGGAAAAAAGCTATTATCACCTGAAAATTTTGGTGAATCATTAATACCCTCATCAATGTGTCTCATGAAAAGAAAGCCATACCTATTTAAAAAACAAAAAAGAGAATTGTAATATATAAGCATAGATTCATCACCTACAAAAACTTTAAATTGAATTTGTGAAATTTAATTTGCTTGAAAAGTAAAGGAAAATAAGCACAGGAATGTCAGCTCCTTTTGAGTTGAAAAAACATTCAAATAAATCAGTACACGAGTTATTAAAGATAACACAATAAAAGAAAGCTTCCTATTTCATGCATTATGGTAGGATGGTCAACAGTGTAGTGCAAGATGTCATGTGATAATTTTTGCAAAAACTTATTACACTCATCAATGTCTCATTGTGTCTCATGAAAAGAGAGACAATAATAAACATGTTTTTAGTATAAGCAAACATTTATTAGAACATAATGCAGTACCAACAAGTACAGAAACCTTAAATTGAATTTCTGGAATTTAATTTGCTAAAGAAGTGAAGGTAAAGAAGCATATTGAAATAACTTTCTAATAAATCGGTACACGAGCTGAGAGAGAGAGAGAGAATAAAATATAAGAGTGCCTTCTATGTCGCACATTATGTTAGGATGATCAACAGTATATCGGCTCAGAGCTTAAAGTGCATATGACATAACACTAACAGAGCCTACGTGTTTCGGGTTTTTTAAATGATAAATAGGAACATGATTTCCTAATACAAGTTTAATTTT